ACACAGTCTCATCTCCAGCCAAAGCTTTGGAAGTAATTCCTATTTACTCTCGTTCCTTTGTTCCCTTCTGCCTGGCGTGGCTGAAGTCTTCACAATGAGTTATTTACTTTGCGGAGGGAAGGAGGTGATGTACAATCTCCGCTTATCACTCTGGCTTAGCAGTGGTCGCAAACACGCGTAACTTCTGAGCGTTCTCAGCAGTGCACACTGGGAGATCGAAAGGAACGATAAATTGCGGTCAGTGCAGACCAGACAGCCGGCAGAAGAACACGGTGGGCTTTTTGTGTACACGATGGAATTGCTTATGTGTGTGAGTTGTGTTGTTCTAATGCTCTCACGCTGCCGCTGGCCACATTAGTGTGCTGGATAATTGTGTTTTCTGACATGAATAATTCAGCAGCAGGGTGTTTGTCAGGCCTCGGAGTGTGTTCGTGAGTGTGTGTCTCACCGAAGTGGCAAGGTAAGATTTCATCAAGTGCAGGATGTCTGTCAAAACACGTTTTCTCCCTTGCCGCTGTTGTCAGTTCTCTTTTTTCCCTTCTTTTCTCCACAGTGGAGTTTTTGATGGCTCCCTGAGATGCCTATCACATCTCTCATTCTTTCCCTCTCTCTCCATCTTCTGGCCTATCCGTCTCCCGCTGAGTCGTGCTCCCTCGCTCTCCTCCCAGATCCTCCCTCTTTCATCATTTCTCCTAATCCTTCACCCTCTGCATCAATCGCACTGACTGTCCACTGCTCCTCTGACATCCTTTTTTTCAGTTCTGAAACACAAATGACTGGTTTATATTCAAGGCTATCTTTCAATTTCCGAAATAAACAAACCTGATGCAAATGTTAAGATGGCAAGGTGCTCCATAGTCTCAGACGTCACTGCCGTAGAGCACTAACAGACTGTTTGAGGCCAATGTTATGCATGCGGCACACATAACGGAGCTCTTGCAAAATCCAATCTGATTAGCTTTACACAAATCCTGAGCATTTGTGTATACAGGATTTTATTGAACTGCAGAAAACAAAGCCCTATTTACAAGTTTGCAGACTTCTTCAATGGCCCACTTCCAAAGATGAACTTAACGATAGATTTACCAACATGTTCTCACTCCCAACTCGTCACATATTGACTCTTGGTCAGGACCCCTTGGCGTCAGTTTTTAACGCACTGGGCAAAATTTTTCAATGTGCAGGTTACTCCCTTACTTGTTTGCCTTGTGCATCAGATCCCTTAATTCTTTGCATGCATTTGTAAAAGTGAGCACCTAACCACAACTCTTCCCTAAACAATTTCTCAACAATATAAAACACGTAACAGTCAGACAAAAGTACAGTCACAGGTATTTAGGGCAAAAACTGACCAGAAAACAGTATAAGCATTACAATCAGCCCGTGTTATATCCCAAGTCCTCTGGAGCCATACAATATCTTTTTGTGAGGAACAGAGTGAAACTTCAGGCGTTAATCGCTGAAAATATTCCCGCTCCATTAACAAAGTCACATCTCATTCAAAAGATAAATCTTAACATTAACATGATGCAATCAGTCACAAAGCACACAACAATCAACCCTAACATAACGCTTCTTTCATGTGGCAGTTTGTAATGTGTTTATGATTTGAACGTTATGGCTGGAGGCGGTGATCACTTTTGGGTCTGTTCCTTATGCAAATTAATCATTTAGCTTCAGAAGACTTGGAATGTTTGTCATTTTTTTATAAATTGTGACTATAGTTGCATATGCATGTTATATCCTTTGTTTGATATTGACAAATGTAAGGATCAGGGGTAGCGGTTGGGTTAGGAGCTCAAAATCAAAATAGTATAATTGGTGTAAGAAGAAACCAGACTCAGATGGGTGACCAGTTCTCCCTTGGCCTAAGCAAAGACCACAGGAGAACTGGTCCCCCATCTGAGCCAGGAGTAAGGAGAACTGGTTCCCCTTTAAGCCAGAGGAGCATCTGAGCCCGTCTTCTCCCAAGTTTTTTTCTCCATTTCTGATGGAGTGTGGGTTCCTTGCCACTGTCACCTTTTGGCTTGCTTAGTTGGGGACACTTCAATTTAAGTGATGTATCGAAATGACCGCACTGACACCACCGGATGAAAGCAAAACGTGGTATCAGTCGAGGTATGTCACATTCAGTGGGAAAGGAAGGGTTGTAGTCTGTTCAGCAAGGACTTACTAAGACTGACCCAGAATGGGTCAAATTTGTCAGCGAGTCTCAATCTACCTGTCAGGAGTAGCAAACCAAGCAACAAATCAGCTGTTTAAAGAGCAGTAATCTCATGAGTATATGACACTGACCATGACACACTGCACTTTGAGTACCACATGACCTATAATTGCACTCAACTAACACCAGCCCCTCAGCCACACTCCAGAACACTCCAAGGACAGCGCTTCATCGATTCCGGCACAACAGCTTCTTTGGAGTTCACCGAACATGCCCGTGGTGCAGCCTCCTTCTCTCGATTCTCTTTTTCTCTAAAGGGCGAGGGCCAGCCGGGGGCATCAAAGCTCATTTTTCTGCGGTTCCCTCAGGACCAGACTTCGGCTGTGAGCAAAGGTTAAAGCTGACGCCCCTATCAATAAGTCACTGCCCGCATTTGACGCTCACGCTTTCATAAAATGTCTGCAATTCCCTCAACGCCTCAGAGGCTAATCGTATGCGTGCAGATAAATGAAAATAAATAAATAAGATCCCTCAGCACATTAGCGGTTCTGTTCTTTCTCCGATCTGTTACTTTCTCTCTTGATGTCATTATAATAATTTGAGGTTAATTGCGTTGTGTCTTCGAATAGCATAAAGCATAGACTAAGTACTCGGCTGTGTTGATTTATTAGACTGTAACCTGTCACTGTAGCAGAGTGTGTCAGTCTTTTGATTTAGAACTTCCTTGATGATGCGTTAATAGTCTGGCACTGTGATTGGCTCATATGACAAGGTTCCCCATAGCATCATATTAAACCACCATGCTCGCTCTCTCTCATGGAGACCTACAAAATAGCATCAATAACCCTCCGCTGTCCTCTCTCTCTCCACTTTATTTGCAATAACTGTCAGCAGTAGAGTGATGCGTTTGTAATCTGATTTTTATGAACATACTTGTATGGATTATTGAGATCCTTTAATGCCTGTACGGGGTGCATTGAAAAGCCGAAGCCTCCTGAATGTTAATGTGACAATAAGAGTAATGAAGCGTCCAACAGTTTATCTCTTCCCTCGCTTTCTCTCTTCCCACCCCTTTCGTTCTGATGTCTTAAACTCCACATTTTAAGGGGGAGTTGATGAGAAACGAGGTGGAGCGGGAGAGTTGGTGAAACTGTGTCTTCATTGATGGTGTCTTTAATCAAATCTTGCTGGAGCCAGAGAAAGGAAGTCAAACCTCATCTTCACCCGCTCTCAATCACCTCAAGCTTAAATAAGGCCAAAATCAATCAGCCCGCGTTTGAACTTTCTTCCGGGGACGTGTTTTTCAAGCCTCTATGAAGATGGCACACATCAAAACATGCTGGCCTCTTCGATAGGTTTGGGTGTGTACTCTATGGTATTTTGAATCCTTTTAAGAGAGAGAGAAAAAAAAAGCAGATTCCCAAACACTCTGCCATTGGTTGATGAAGACATAGTCCAACCCAGTCCTGTGGTGACTTCTCTGGAAAAAAACGATGTTGCTTCTTGCACGCTTTGTGACACTTTCCAAGTGGAAAGTCTAAAAGCATGCTAAATTTTATCTAAAACAGAAAAACATGAATTCGGCAAGGTTTTATTACGTTGGTACTTGTATCCATCGAGGCATTTCGGAAATGAAATGTCCTGTGAGTGATGCTAGAACATAGCACCTACACTAAACCTAAGCAATAGTGTTAACAAAAGCAAATGTGAGATAAAAATGCATTTGCTGAAGCAACAGTGACATTTTAGCTTGTGTCTACAAGTCTTTAAGACTCTTAAAGACCTATCGTGATTCATGTTTTATGGAACTCGTAAGAGCAATGCTGTACCGGGTGCGCTACCGAGCAAGTTTACTACATCAGAAAAGCCATACATATGGAGCTGGTTATGTGATGCAAACATCAAAACTTTTAAAATAATAAAAGTTGTTGGTGTTTTAGTGCCTATAGTGTTCATTTCAGCTGGAAACGGCAGTGAATTGTATGTTGGCCTAGTTTTTGGAATTTTGCAAAAATGTAGGTAGAGGCATGTTTTTGCAATTAGCCTGTGTTGGCAGAGTCAAGCTGAAAGCAAACAACATTGTTTGGGTCTGTATTGCAATTTTGATAGGAGACATAGCTACCTTCAAATTCAGGTAACTATTGGCTAACAATTTAGCTTTAACTAGCTATAAACATGTAGACAGTAACTAACTTGGACTATCTTGCTCAGCTTTATTCTCTTCAAACTGTCTCCGCCAAACAGCAATTGACCTAAAAGAGCTACAACTGACTGTAGAAGAAAACCGTTAGCACTCAAAACGGTCAGCGTATGAATGCAATGCGTGCTTGTGGTGCATAATATGACTTCTGACGCATTTTGCAACAAATCAAGCTTGCATAGCTAGAAGCATTCATATATCAGGATTTAGACTTCCTGTCATCAACACTGCTGAGTGCAAAGGAGGAATTTTACTGATGCTGTAAGCAACAGATCACTGAGACAGCCAATGGGAACCTTCAGCACTGGCTGAATACAGAAGCATCTTTACGGAATGTCGACCAAGAAAAAAAAAAATCTGCATACAAATGCCAAGGCAGCCTGGAGTTCATCTGCACTCCTGAATTATCTTTTATGGAAATAATAATGACTTCAAAACGAGTTAAGGCAAGTGGCAGCTGCCTCTATGGCACACATGTGACCTAAATAGGCCAGAGGCAGGGAAAGGGTTGAAGAGGCCATTCCATGGTGCTATATGAACTCTGTGTGATATCAAGAAGACTATTTATGGCTATTGTTAAGCCATTTTAAGATGGTTGCACATTTAGGTGTGTGGGAGTGTGAGCGTGTGACTCACCACTTCGCGGGGCAGGAAAGTGTCCTCTTGTCTGACGATGAGAAGACCTACAGTGCCTCCCATGGGAGTCGAGCGCAACAGAGCCACAACCTCCTCCTGAGTCTTACCATTCAGATCCACTCCATTAACCTACACCCACACAAACAGAAATCATCAGAAAAATGAGGATCTGACAGCAAAATGCTGCTCCTTTGTCTTAACAGTGAAGCAAATCAGTTTTCGTCAATGTATATTTTTCATTTTGTAAACCACATGCACTAAACACACATTTTTAAAACATTTTTATATTATATAAAAGAATAAATAATAAGAATGCACACACACACACATATTTATTTATAAATGTTATTTTAGTACTATGTTCATAACATTATAGCATTATTATTTAGCTTTTTTATTATTTTCAGTTTTCATTTTAGATTAGGTTTTAGTAACTGTGTTATTTGCTTTTGTCATTTTTATTATTTGTTTAATGTATTTTAGATTCAATTTATTTTTAATTCAGTTTTAGTTCTAGAAATTTCAGCTAATTTATATAAATTACTTGCAAAGTTATTATAGTTAACTAAAACTAAATTAATTAATTAAAACCATAAAAAAGCATTACTTGAAATAAATTAAACTTTAAATAAAATAAAAAAAAAAATTTCAGCTAGTTGCCAAGGCAATATTAACTCGATCTACTAAAATTAAACAAAGCAAAATTGAAATAAAAAAATTAATAAAAACTATATAGACATATTTAAAAAAAACAAAAACTAATAAAAATGACAAAAACAACAAAATTGCTAAAAAAATTACTGAAATTAGAAAGAAAACATAAAATATAAAAATAAAAACAAATTCAAAATATAAATAAAAACTATAATATTTAGTTGCTATGTTAACTATATTATGTTTTTCATCCAGTATTTATAATTTGTTTTATTTCAGCTTTTTTCAACAATGTGAACAAGTCTTAAAATAATTTTTAGCTAAAATTAACTTACATATAATACATAATATTCCGAATTCAGAAATACTACATATAGTATTAATAATTACACACTTAATCACTGGTTAAAGGGGTCATAGGATGCCCATTTTCCACAAGTCAGTATGATTCTTTAGGGTCTTAATGAAAAGTCTGTAACATAGTTTGGTTAAAAATTCTCAATGGTAGTGTAAAAAACACCTTTTTTTACCCTGTCAAAAAAAACTATTTTCAGAGCATGCAGATTTGTAGCATTTTCCTTTAAATGTTAATGAGCTCTGCTGGCCCCGCCCCTCTCTTCCAAGCTGCTCTCAGAGAAACTGTTTATTTTAGCCTCATTCATCGTGAAACTTGCTAATTAGCACATTAATAGGAAAGGCGATTTGCAAAGATTCGTTAAAAAAAACGTCACACAGACAGGCATCTGAGATCGGCTCGATTTGAGAAAGGGGTAAAGATTTTAGTAGATTAACAAAAAACCACTGGGTGGATTTTTATCATTTTAGGGTGGTTGTGTACACACTGCCAACACACATTTCAGTTCAAACAACTTGTAAAAGTGCATGTAGCATTATATGACCCCTTTAAACAGGTTTGAGCATCATATTAAAAAGCTTGACCTGTGCAAAAGTGGCGCTGCTGTCAAATTTGACGTTACAGGATGCTGATGTGAGACATTTGAGTGTTTAATAAAGCAACAAATAAAACCTGAATTATATTCCATGTAATTACATCCAATCAAGCATTACAATTAACTGCAGACACATTATTGTGACCATGACAACAGGAAGTACTGTCCTGATATTTCTATGGCAACATAAAGGCACTCTGAAAGGCCTCGACTCCATTAAAGCGATGAATCAGGGTTTGTTAAGCCAAATGGATGACGTTCTGGCTCCGCAGTAGCATCTGGCATGAGAGCCTGCAGGTGTCCTGCTCCATTTCTAAATGAAATAGCCATTGTTGATTGGCTGTCACTGTAAATCAGCCATCAGCTAAACTTCTTTTTGTCCATTCTCTTTTAGTGAGGTTATTTACTCTCCCAAACTAAAAAGGAAAGTGCTTCTCACAAGGGAGAGAGGAAAACAATGGACATCTTGCCTCCGATAGACCAAGCAGAATGGACTATTGTTGGGATTTTAAAATAAGAATGGACTTTGTTGGGATTTTAAAATAAGAAAAGCATGAGAAAAGCTGTATATGGTGCTGAAAGTTCAGGAAGCTGTGAAAAGGAAGAGGAAGTGAGGGCCGTGTGATGTCACTCGTCGCTCTCAACCGCTTCCAGGTTTTCTCACCTCGAGCAGCCGGTCTCCAGCTTTCAGACGGCCGTCCTGGATGGCGGCTCCACGCGGGAGGATGTTCTTCACATATATGGGGGCGGAAGTGCCAATCGGGACGTCTCTGGAGGTGATGCTAAAACCCAAGCCCTCCGGACCTACAACACAAAAATAACAAACAATACATGTGTAAATGAACTAAAGAGTCTGGCTATAGATCAAACAATGACCGTCTGGGAATGTCATTTCACATTTTTAAGTTTAGTGTGGGTTGTAAAATGTCACTTTTTGCAGCACATATTTTTTATTTATTTATTGTTTGTTTGTTTTATATATTTCAATTTATTTAACTTTAAGAGGTCTAAGACCACACCGTCCTCTCTCATTTGTCTTTTCCTCCTGCTTTCTCTCTCAAGCCCTCATAAATTAATGCATTGCGAAGAACATTTTCCTAATTTCTTCCTCAAGCTGTAATTTTCTGTACTGCCTTACATTGCTTGATTTTTTTAAGCTTTAAGACTTTGGCACAGTCACATAGACAGCATTTTTTATTATCTTTCTCTCACATAATCCAAAAAAAAAAAACCCTGATATATTTTCAGTTTTTATTTTCATTTTTGTTTAAGTTTTCGTAATTTTGCTATGTACTTTTGTTATTTTCATGTTATTTCAGTTTCAGTTTTTTTATTATTATTATTCTTTTTTGAATTTTCACAGGCAAAATCCATTCATTTCAATAGAAATCGGTGCAAATCTGGAACTTCACATGAGGGTGAAAGATTTTAAAACGTGGATTTAGCAACGGGTTAAAGTTGGCTGTGTTGACTAACAGAAAGCTGCTTGGTGATTTCCGTGACTTCTCTTCATACATCAGTACATTATTAATCATTACTGGGCATTTGCCCATGAAATTTCACTAAAATGTTACTAATCTGATCGAATCTTCACAAGAGAAGTGAATGGTATTTTTATCTGGAGACACATTTGTAGCCTTCAGGACTGTCTGTGTTCACTTATATCATATCTGGGATATGTCTTGTTCATGGTTTGTGCACAAAAAGGGAATTTTTCAAAAGGTTAAACACAATATTCTAGCATCAAAGCAAGTTATGCTCAATAAAACAACACTTGTGGCATCATAACACAAATAAAAAAAGGGAGTCAAAAAGTGAGGGACAGAATACGGTCACACTTAACATTATTCTGCGAATTTTCACAGGCAAAATCCATTCATTTCAATAGAAATCAGTGCAAATCTGGAACTTCACATGAGGGTGAAAGATTTTAAAACGTGGATTTAGCAACGGGTTAAAGTTGGCTGTGTTGACTAACAGAAAGCTGCTTGGTGATTTCCGTGACTTCTCTTCATACATCAGTACATTATTAATCATTACTGGGCATTTGCCCATGAAATTTCACTAAAATGTTACTAATCTGATCGAATCTTCACAAGAGAAGTGAATGGGGCCAATTTGCAAACATTAAAGGTGCAGTAAGTGATTTTTGAGAAACTATATGTTTATATTTGAAATCACCAAAACATACACGCCCCTACCCAAAAGGATCACACCTCTATCTTAATAGCTCCGCCCCCAAATTCACAAACATGCTATGCAGCACAGGCAACTCCCCAATCATGAGTGGACACGCCCCTTACTGGTGATTGGCTAGAAGTGTGTTCTGATGCTCGGTCCGATCCACTTCCACTACAGCGTTTCTCAGAATAATGATACATTATATATAATATAGACTATATATCTATTATATATAGATAATGAACATTATGCCACAAATGCCCTTGATTGAGCTTAACTTGTATTGAAACTCCGATGTTCCAAAGAACACAGCATGAGCCGGTGTTGCTGGTCTGGGGTCAGTAGCTGTGCTGTTCTCTAAATGGTTTATGTTTGTTATGGTGCTGGGCTAACTGCTCCAAGACGTACGGCCACAGCCGGCAGAAGTGAAGCCAGAGTCAATAACAGGCCTGTGAGGCTATCAAAACCCCACCTGATGCCCCCTACAGGATAATTACTACAATCAAACTTTCGGCCATTAGGACATTCAGCTGTTAACGGCTTACAATCAAGTAATTACAGGGATGGAACACTAATAGCCCCGCGCTAATTAATCACGTATGTGGCACGGTCTACTTTCAGGGTTTTTTCTGTTGTTGAGAGTTTTTTTTTTTTGGATTATGTGAGAGAAAGATAATAAAAAATGCTGTCTATGTGACTGTGCCAAAGTCTTAAAGCTTAAAAAAATCAAGCAATGTAAGGCAGTACAGAAAATTACAGCTTGAGGAAGAAATTAGGAAAACGTTCTCCGTAATGCATTAATTTATGAGGGCTTGAGAGAGAAAGCAGGAGGAAAAGACAAATGAGAGAGGACGGTGTGGTCTTAGACCTCTTAAAGTACTATTTTAAGATTATCATAACAAAAAAAGACAAATGGACTAATGGAAAGAGAAGGAAGACTCTTTAAATGAGTGAAGCTCCAGTGAGAGAACAGAAAACTCCCATATCCACATAGCAGGAAAAAAAAATCATATTTGCCTTATTATCCATTAAATTATCAAAACACTGTAAAAATGGGACAAAATAACTTTTTCCTGAGAATTTTTTTTTAATCATCCCTGTTTGACCAACCAACCAACATACATAAATAAATAAATAAATATACATAAATAAATATTATAATTATAATTATTATTAAAAGACAAATGGAGACATGTATGTGTCCTTGCAGTGTTCACTTACAGAAAGAATGTCTTTATGATGGCTGTATATAATAAATCATTATTATAAAAAATATTAATAAAAGGTAGTTAATATGGTAATGGAGTTACCATATAACCAAGGAACACAACATCAAGCATTTAAATTCAACAAGAAAAGAGTTGGAAAAAGCTGGGGATAAACCTTAAAACAGAAAAAACGAGAGTTGTAGGAGGCATAAAATATGATTTTACATTACATTTTTACTGATGTGTTTTAAAAAAGCCTATAAAAACACTAAATGTGAGCTATTCACCGCTACAGTCGCTTGAGCAGAATGAACCTTGAGTATAAACAGCATTAGATGCATTATTTTATTTCAGCAGTGCACCTGTCACTGAATAAAACTTGAATTTGATATAAAGACAACACTGTTTTTCATAAATCTAGAAGGGTAAAGTGGGTAAAGTGCCCAGAGCAAATAAATCTCTCAGCTGGCACAGACGTGTTGAAGCCAATCTGAGAGAGCTCTGACAGATTAAACAGGCTCGACGAGGGTCAATAACCTCACTGCAAACGGGACGAAACGAGAGAGTGCATCAGCTTCCAGGTGAAGTCCCGGGCAGAGAGCAAGCCTTCGGTGTTTGTACTGGTAAACGCTGAAGGCTCCCACAGATCTGCTGTATTTAGCCTGTAACACAAGCTCAGCTCAGTCCAGCACGCATGCCAGAACCGCAGCGCTCAACATCTGCTGCATCACAGCCAGACGCCAGCGGGCGATTCACCCTGCGCTTGTTCATTTCCTGTCTCCCTCCCTCTATCTCTGCGAATCACAGGGAGAGAAGATGAAGATGGACTGATAGTGAAGAGTGGCGTTCGTGTTTGGATTCAGGGCTCCTACACCAGTGTTTCCCAGAGAGTGCTGCTAGTCAGGACTGTGTCCCAATTTACATACTGACCACCCTACACCCTAGTAAACAAGATTAGAATTACTGTGTCCTGAATCATATATATATATATGTGTGTGTGTGTGTGTTTGTGTGTGTGTAGTATATACTGTATATATATATATATATAATACAAATATTGCATTATAAGGTGGATATTATTGTATATTGTAGTATCAGGTGGAGTTCTGCATATTATGCAAGCTTTTCTAGTTAATATTACCCACAACCCCTTGAACTATAGAGGAGTTTGTGACAATTTATTTTCAACAACTTTAGTGTATAAAAGCGACACAGATTGTGAGGCCAATGCTTTCATAGCAGTTTTTAAATGCCTGGACATAAAATTGAAATAAGGAATCTTAAAGTAACAAATTTAGCTAGATACATGCTAATGCAAATTATGCGTGGTAAGCAGTGTTGTTACTGTTAACTATTAAAACTAAACCTAAAACTTTTTAAAATATTTTTTGGTAATGGATAATAAATAAATAAATAAAATTAGTAACTCCAATATTTTCTTGTAAATTAAAAAGTAATGTGTTACTTTACTAGTTACTTGAAAAAAAAAGTAATCTGAATACTTAAAGGGATAGTTCACCCAAAAATGAAAATTTGATGTTTATCTGCTTACACCCAAGGCATCCAAGATGTAGGTGACTTTGTTTCTTCAGTAGAACACATTTGATGATTTTTAAGTCCAACCGTTGCAGTCTATCAGTCTTATAATGCATGGCAATGGTAACAAAGTCTATGAGTGTAAAAAAAAACATGCACAGACAAATCCAAATTAAACCCTGCGGCTCCTGACGACACATTGATGTCCTAACACATGAAACGATCGGTTTGTGCCAGAAACCGAACAGTATTTATATAATTTTTTAGCTCTAATTCACCACTATGTCCAACTGCTTTGAGCACGTGCACGGCTTCCGATGCGTGAGGTGTGTACGCGCTCTGGCGTAGTTTACGTTAATGCGTGGCGTACGCCTGCCCTGCCCAACCCACTCCATATTTCACACCGCGCTGAAGCCCGGCCCATTTGTTGTCAGGATTTAACTGTGTCTTTACCGCTCCCTCTCCTGCTGAGTCAACCTAATAGATGCCAATGAGACAAGCCCACTGACAGAGAAACTTCTTTTTGCTCTTTCATTTAAACACGCCGGAGCGTGTGATTACGACATGGTGACAAAGAGGGGAGGGAAAACAGCATCAGAGAAACAGAAAGTTTCATGGCTTGACGTTCTAGCATTTTCTTCTCAAAAGCCGCCACTAATGGAGATCAGAGGCGCTGCTGCATAAACACTAACAGATATTCCTCAGACGTCTTGGTTTATGCATAAACATGCGTGCGTTTGTGTCTGTTTGGGTGTGTTTGTGGTATCTCTGATAGACATTTCCAGTTGTCCCGTGGTGTGAAATGCTGAGATGCAGCTGCCGTGCAGAGCGAATGGGATTTGGAGCTGTACGTGAGTCTGAGAGGAAGCTGCATCCGCACTTCCTGACAATAGCAGATCGAGTCCTTTGAAGTACTAACTGCATTAGTTACACAATGTTAGTCGCTACAGTGGAAAAGATACACCGCCGTTCGCACAGATATCATCAGCTATTAAAACAGCAGAAAATACAGGCAACTTCAGAGGAAAACAAACAAATAAATAAATAAATGCATAGCGTACGCTATTTTTTATTGCAAGGGCAACAAGACGTCTCGTGTGTATATATATATATATATATATATATAATTAAATAAATGTCGCTTTCAGCTACAGTAGCAATAAGACACATTTTCCCACAATGAAATTAATTCTGCAAAACACTGCAGATTTGAAAAAGTCTACAAATCACATCTGGGCCGACCCATCAGCGCTCTACCAAATCTGACAAAGTGGGCTATTTCAATTAACTAGGTAACTGTACTCACATGAAAGGTCAGGTTACCGTGAAGCGCTGTGAATCAGTATGATGAGACTTGAGTAACCGTACCTTTCCTCAACTGGACGTTGAACTTGCGGCCGATCTTTTTAGAGTAGCCCACAGAGGAGGCGGCACTGGTGGGTCTGGAGGGCTGGTTGGGGCCCGGTGGGGTCTTGTTTGATGTGTTTGCTATGTGCGGTAACGTGGGATAGCCCAGGGTCGATTCGGCTTTGGACATTCTCCGCGGGCTGTAGTCGACACCTCCTCCCACCAGACTGGCCCTGTCCCCGGGGCCCGAAGCAGCCTGAAGACCCAGTTCGTTCTGAGACAGCAGCTCGTACTGGGCTTTCTTCACCGCAGGAACCACATGGAACAGGATGAGTGGAGAACGCATAGCCTGTCTGAACAAATGCTGGGCCCTGAGGGGAGAGAACAGCACACACACACACACGTCTCAGTAAGGATGTATCTCATTGTCAATTACTGAACAGGCTCATCCTAAGTACTGGGATTGTTAAAAGCAGAGCACATGCAGAGGTCAAAAGGTCGCCTTGCTTTATCGTTGGCTAATTGTACTAGTACAGTTGGAAACAAGGTTAATTCACGTTATCTGCCATTTCCATAATCGCAAAGCCTTGGGGAAGAAGCAGTGAAATGTATTAGAGGCAGAAAGCGGGATCTGTTTTCATAAGTGTGCCACATGGAGGACAAAAACAGCAGTCCATCAGACCTGCAAGATATGGCTAAAAGGAACACTAAAAAACCTATAAGTCAAATAAATAAATATATAACAGATCTAGTTATGATATATATGATGGAGTGGTTCATAAGTAACTTATGTATATTAGAAACAATCATTCTGAATGCATAGAATGAGGTGATTTCATTAACTCTTTCCCCGCCAAACACAGATTTTTCCAGGTTTCCGTGTCTTCACTGTTATACGCTCGGGGGCACTATTACGCATCTCCTGAATGAGTCCACAATCTCCCGATCAAAAACACAGACTAGGAAGACGCAGAAACGAGCGATCTCATATGTAAGCAGATGCATATGAAAAATAATGCGATCATCAACAATAAACAGCATATCAATGAAAATCGATCAAGGAAGCGGTGAAGGACTGTGAAGCTTTGGTGTTGATGGAAGCGATCCACTGCATCTATGCTTTGATCAACAAACTGAATATGATCCAGATGTAGTCTTTGATAAATACGTGATTTTATCAGCTTTTTGATCAAAATGCTGCTTTTTTTATTAAACTTACCTACATTACCTACATTACCTATAAAATAAAAAAGAATGCTTGAAGCCAGAATAAAACAGAAATTTTTGTTTAAAAGTACAAGCTCTGTTCTTTATGTTGATGTATTGCATGTTCAGATATTCATACAACAAAATATTCTGGAGGCCATGACATTTTTGTAAAAATGAACAAAAATGCTGGCGGTGGCTGGCAAGTTTTTTTCAAAAATGCTGGTGGGGAAAGAGTTAAAGGAATAGTTATCCCAATAATAATAATAATAACAATAATAGTAATTATATCTCAAATTAGTACAAATGTATGACATAGTATGACTTACACACTACCGTTCAAAAGTTTGGGGTCAATAAGATTTTTTAAAATGTTTTTAAAAGAAGTCTCTTTCAAGGCAGCATTTATTTTTTTTACAATTTTGTTTATTTTTTGATTATTTTTTTACAATTTAAAATAGCTGTTTCTATTGTAATATCTGTTCAAATATAATTTCTTCCTGTGATGTAGGCCTGAGTGTTTCATTACTCCAGTCTTCAGTGTCACATGATCTTCAGAAATCATTCTAATATGCTGATTTGCTGCTCAACAAACATTTCTGATTATTATCAATGCTGAAAACAGTTGTGCTGCACGATATTTTTGTAGAAACCTTAGAAGAGCATTTATTTGAAATAGAAATATTTGTAACAATTTAAAAGTCTTTACTGTCATTTTTGATCATCATTGCTGAAAAGAAAAAAAAAACCATCTGACTAAATAGTTTTGAATGGAAAGACTTGAAATACAGTGCACAAGTCACCACTTTTATTTTTTGTTGTTGTTGTTTTTCAGTTTTAGAGATTGGAAGCTACAGTCACCGTTTATATTCCATTATATGGAATGGAGTTTAAAACAAACATGAGCATAAGTAAACCCTGCCAGAATCTTCAATTTTTTACTGAACTATTGTTGTAAACACCCAAAAATACAAGACAAGCACATCTGAACTACAGGTTAATGCTGCATTTTACATATAGATAGTTTGACCCGGAAACTTAAACCCAACACAAGAACGAGAAACAGCAGAGGAACACGAGCTCGACAGTCGTGTACGTCGCTGTTTACTCCTTTAACGTAAGAACCATCAGAGTGAGTTATTTCCGTCTCAATAAACTCTTCATTAAATCGATCTCTGCAACTAGACAGCAAATAGCGCCTCACTTTAGGGTCTCCCCATCTATTTTTATGCAAATGTAGCCCGCCCGCCTCCAAACGGCGTGTGTGAGCAGACGAGCGGAGCGGTGACACACAGCTAATCACGCGACTCCCTCTGTCTGATTGAATAATAAATGACTCCATCAACACGTCATTACACTGCGTTAGATCAACCGCTGATAAATATTTACCCATGCAAACAATCCAATAAGATAAGAATATCGTTATGAATTATAACTCCACATGGAGCACAATCAAGAAACAGAGGGAGAGAGGGAGAGAGAGAGAGAGAGAGAGAGATAAAGAAAACATCGGTCTATATGAATCCCGCAGCTGTGAGAGAGAAAAAAACGACAACGCAGACGCAGATTAAACCGTTACTCTCTTGTGAATCGACTTTACAAGCATGGAAACCACAAGTTTGTTCACAGATAACTAACATACCGAATCGACGAGTCAAAGCCCTGAGGGACGGCAATATATACGAAGAACAAAAGGATGTAATATCTAATATGTATTACGCTCACATTATCGACCCGATGTGTATGTAATTCGCAAGGTTGTGTTTAATCCTTGACCCCGTTGGGTTCGTGTATTTGCACTAGCGGCGAAAGCTAGTCTCATGCAAAAATATAGCCAAGCAATTAAAACATAATAACGCTTTGGGACACTGGGGAAATTAACTTGTGGTGTTGGGTTTGTGTAAGCGGACTGAATGATGTATGTAAATTAGTTTTAGATGAGATTATGAATTATCCCGCAGCTGTGCCCTTTCTGTGCCCTGTGGCGAATCCCGGCCAGAGCTCTTTTTCCATTCATTCTCCTGTTGCAGCCGAGTTTGTTCTCATCTTGCCATATTGTATACAATCATCTGGACCAGGCCAAGCCGAGCCGAACAAGACTGGGCCAAAGGAAGCTCTCGATGATAAATGTGGAATGACACTCTACCTACAAGCAATATTCTCATCTTTTCTCTTTCTTGGAGTTGTTATTTAACAAATTTCTCAAATACAGCAGGCCATATGTGAGCTGAGAGATATATTTGATAAGGTTTATCATGATATGCCTTACAGCCAGAGGTGGGTACTTTTAGGAGTAGATTTAGAGGTGAGCAGTGGTGGGTAGAGTACTTGCAAATTGTAGTTTGCTACCGATTTCAAATTACAAGACACATTTTGTAGTCAGTAATGTAATCCATTATACATTTTAGGTAATATAATCAGACTCATTTTGGATTACTTTTGACCTAACTCGTTTATCACGTTGATTTAAAGGGGTCATATGATGCTATTTTAAAGATAATTATTTGGTGTATTTGGTGTAACAGAATGTTGACATGCTTTAATGTTCAAAAAACAATCTCGTACCATATTGATATAAAAATACAAAGAGAAAGAAAATAAATTCCATTTGTTATTAACAACATGAAGAGCATTAAACATTTGTGAATGTGAAACAAATGTGAATTTCCAGATACTTGAAGACTTTCTGAATGTATATAAGCGGTAGATTATTTTAGAAAGGAAAATGTATAAGATGAAAAATAAAAATTATGGCGAATCAAATTCAGAATAATTTAATTATATTTTGTTAATATGTATAATCAATAAAAAAGTAACTGTAGTCTGATTACCAGTATTTTAAAATGTAATATAATCTAATTTCAAGTACTTATTTTTTGGAATCTGATTACATAATCCAGATTACATGTAATCAGTTACTCCCCAGCTCTGAAGGTGGGTTCTTTTACATTAGTTTTATCCTCAGACCATTGGCTGAATGTCTGATGCATAAAATGAGAAAACACACGAAATGCAAAACACTTCACGAGTCTGGAGGTCGCCATCTGATTGGTTGAATTCCACATGATTTCCTTGAGACGTGTGTCACATTCTTTAACGGTGTGACTGGGATCAAAGCCGTTATGACGCCAAACCCTCTGTTTGAAGAAGAAAGCCGCTGTGTTTACAACTGTGACAACGAGCGCTTATCATGATCAACTAAATGCTGGATTCTTGACTCTTGACGACTGAAGACAATGTTCCTGAATGAATGATTTATCGGCTGCAGGCCGGTTTATTAATTTAGAGACATCAACTTCAACCGAACAAAATGTACTGTGATTGTTTGCTTTACATGTCAATCAGATGGCCTTATGGGCGGTGCTTGGTTACGCTTTTACACTAACTTGAGTACATTTGTAGTTACTTTTTTACTTCATTACACTGGGCAAGGTTTCTTTCGTTACTTTAATACAATAAATGTTAAGAAGTTAGTAGTTTATTTCAAGAGCACTGCCTCATTTTACTTGAGCCATTCACCAATGATTCACTCTTTTGAGTCGATTCTCTTCAAAGAATTAAAAATACCCATATCTTACATTTTTTGGTTCAGCAGACTTTAAAAAATAATAACAAAATTAAATCATCTATAAATCATCTACAATCATCTATAAATCTATCACTTCCTAGTTTTTGTTTGTTTCGATAACATTAGGCAGTTTTGATTTATATGCTGTTTAATGTTTGATTATTATAATATTTGATTATTTTGTGCTTCTTCTTCACTGTGTTTTGATCCAGAGATTCTGTACTCTTTCCGAAGATGTGTAATAGCGCCTCCTACTGTATAACAGTGAAAACACAGAAGATGCTGTCAATGGCGGGGAAAGAGTTTGTCTGATAGTGGGTGGACACGAGTTCATATTCAACTAGATAAAAAAAAAAGTGTGTCAAGACAAACTTTGAAGTTGGCTTGAGAAAGCCAGATCAGAAAGTTTGAAAATGTTTTAAAAACTTGAAGTTTGAAGATTTTCAGTTTGAAGTAGTTTGAAGGCAATGCAGTCTATTAGATGATAGATAGATAGATAGATAGATAGATAGAGTTTGAATAGTCTTGGCTCATGTGAACATTTCGTCAATGTAAGTCTATGGGATTTTTATGATTTTTGATCTTCATTTTTATGAAAACCATAAGTTGGATCATTTAGAAAAGATAAAGCACACTAAGTCAGAATAGTCTGAAGGTCTGAGCTGAGTTTGGTGGTTTTAGCTTGAAAGTTCTAGGAGTAGTTAGAGTCAGAAAATGTAGTGTCAGAACAATAATAACTATGTTTAAATAGCATTTCAATAAGCTGGCTTTCTCAAGTCAACCTAATAATGGTAGAAGTTTCAAACGACTTTATGCAGGTTAATTTCAACAGACATTACGAAATGAGGAAGAAGTTATGAGCTCTAAAAGTTTAATAGAGTATCAGGGTTATCGTACTGCATGAACCTTCAAGGAAATCAAGAAAGATTTTTAATCGACCTTATGATAACCTCTACTGCTGCATCTGGTCCACGAACAACTTCTGTAAACTTTAAACAGAGATGTTATTCTTTGTTTAGTTAGAGAGAGAGGCGAGATGAAAGGCTGAAAGCAAGGCTTTCAAAGCTCTGAGGAAGACTGAAAGCTCATGAAAGTGTGGAAAGACAGAGAGGCATAAAGGATAAAGCGTGAAGCGGTCTCTGCATCTCCTCCAGAGAGGGGCTTACTGTTCGAATCGGATGTTGCGCAGGTCTGCGTTATTAATCCGGACGATACAGTCGTTCTCCTGGAACAGAGCATCCCGCTCCGCCTTCCCGCCCCTCTCCAGCCTCTTCACTAACAAGCCCAGCGTCCTGGAACAGTCACAGCAGATATTAGTGACATTGAGCTCAGTGTCAGCGCAGTTCTCAGATCAGCTACACCACACATTACTGTCAGAGCCTGACACAGACGCACAGCTTCAACCAGGCATCATCTAACACAGAACGCACAGTTAGCTTCCATTTAATGCCACTATGCAATTAAAATCAATGCATTTAAACACACTGTACAAGCAGTTTTGGGGATATTTTGAGGAATCAGAGGACCCTGTTGCTCAGAGTGCTACAAGTATTTACTATGGTAAACACCGCTTCAGCAAATATACCAGTTACTACAATTATTATAACTTCTGTACGTTAATAAATTAACACTGTGATACAGACTCAGAAGCTTTCAGAATTCAGAATGAAATAAGTTATTATTAGTATTATTATTATTATTATTAAATAATAAAATACATAAAATAAAAAATAATATAAATA